GGAGGGCTTTGTTTCTGATGCACTCCACCTTCGCGCGAATCCCACCGAATTCAAGACCAAGCTGAGCCAAAAGTTTGCAGCGCGGCAATCTAATCAGTCGCATGGCGCTGACATGGAGGGGGGCGCTTTGCACCGCCCTCGAGTTGGGTGCATATGGGCATGTATCGAAATTTGAGGATCCTCAAAGTAGTGGCTTTTCTTTGGTCGCTCTTCGCACCCAACCCAGAAGAAATGTACCACTACCCGCGAAAAATCCATGTCATGGCAGCGAGGCTCAATCTGGATCTTTACGGTCAACCCACTTCCTCTTCTGTCCATTTTGTCGGAGGCATGATTGCGATCACCCGCCGCGGCCACGCACTTTTCGTGTGGATTCTGACTCATACCCGTGCCATGCTCAAAAAAGACCGGCCATATCTAGCGATTTTTGGCTTCAGTATGCAATCATCCCTACCAGGAGAACCCCCAAAGCCTCTTTCGTGGTTGACATGAGGCCTGCTGAACCCATCGGTTTCTCAACGCGTCCTTTCAGTGAGGAATTGATCCATTCTTGCCATATTCGAAGACATAGCTCATCTGGATGAATTTGATCATGGCACTCCCGACTTCAGACCGAAGCTTCGCTTTAAAGCTTGGTCCATAAGCTTCAGCTCTCGCTGACCCTCTTGCAACCACAGCCGACAAGAGCCTAATAAATCTCTGGACAAAACGGAAGCGAATTCTTCTTTTCGCTCAGCCATCGAAGGCTTCCGTGGATTGGCCAAACAATGCCAAACTGTTTTTGCTGCCCGGTAGAACGGCCTTCCCAAAAAGTAGGTCCACAAACTCAGGCAGTTCGAAAAACCAGCCAACCAGCGCTGTATGTTGGCTCCAATGACCTACAGATCCACCGAAAGCTGAGGCTTTGGTCTGGCGCTGCTAGGCGGAACTCGTCCAATGTCTGGTCTCTCTTGAACGCTTCCTTTGCAGGAGGGTCCCAGTGAGGGGTAGGGTGGACACAGCTCAGAATACCCACATGTTTAATGCATGGTGTCATCCCCTGACTAGAAAAGACAAGAGGTATTGCAAGCGAAAGCCCGTTTTCTGTTTTAAACAACTAATGTTGACCCCGGAATAATAAACCCATGTTTATTAATATGGGGGTGTCCATTGTTATAGTGGGGAGTTGTCACTTTTGGAGGCGAACACCCCCATATTAATTTCATAGGGGTTTATTACCGGGGTCAACATTACCCTAGACATGTCTAAACGGTGAGTATTTGTTGAGTCCAACCCGTGGGCCAAATCTCAGCCAAACTGCGCGGCGACGGGCTCACTGGTAGAGACCTTGCCATCCATCGCAAGCGACCCGGAGCCTATTCAAAGACCAGGTTCTCCAAAGTAAGAACCTCCTGTCTCAGTTCGGGGCTCACATCCCCTCAAATGGGTCTATTGGAACTGAAGGGCCATTCTGGAAAGCAAAGCGTCCACTTTCAATCTGGGATTCCGACTCGGGTCAGCCTGGCAAGGCACAACAATCCCATCAAAAGCAAAACGTTTCACGCCACCTGAAAGTGTTCTGAGGCACAGGAAGGTCTGGAAGAAAACAAAACTTCCCTACCTCTTTCGGTTGCCACTCTGGTAGAAACCCAGGCATTCTTACCTCTATGCCTGACATGATGGTTCCCCGGGTTGCTATTGCCACCTGTGCAACAAGGGGTTGACTTCTCGCGGCTCGTTGGGGAAAACCAACCAACCAGTGATCCAACCAGCTTGCCAAGCGGTTGCCATGGCATCTAGCACTGGCTTTCCCAGAGTCTGAAGGCCAAGCCCCGAAGGAAGAAAACTTGCGCGCCCCCAGTTCTCCCTGTCCGTGGAAAATATTTGGCCCCAACTTCCTCCCCGAGCCAACAATAGGCTACCAGGAGTCGCATCGGTTCCTGACATGGGCGCTTCTCAAGATTGGGGACCCCTTCTGGTGATTGGGGTTCCTGTTGGATTCCCACCATGTAGTTTTGAAAAATGGAAAAATATGTTCCAAACTACTTCCCGAGAGAAAAGGGGTAGTCACTCCTTTTTGCAAAATACTCACACATGGGTCCGTAGCAAGCTGTCCAACAGTTGTTGTGGGGGGCGGGGGGGATTCCTGGGAAGCCCCCTGCTTCCTGTTTCGTCCAGGTATAAGGCGACGGGTCAGACGGAGCTCCCGAGGCTTCCTCCTTTAACATCACCCAAGGAAACTGTAAAAGAGGAAATATTACATCGCAAGGAATCTGTCTCGCGCATCTGCCACCTATTCCCAAAAACCGTCCCAGATGTGCGTGCCCGAAACCCATGGACTTTTGGCTCCATGGTTATATAGGTTTGTGTAGGCCTCAAGATGTCTCGGTGTTGCCTGCTAAAAGTTTAACTTTTAGTGGTTTAATTCGGAAAGCCCGTTCGTCGGCAAAAAGTTGTAAAGTCCTAACATCCCTTGGCAGCATGCAACAAAGAGATCCTTTAAACCAGGCAGGAACCGAACCTTCCATTTGGTTAAGACCCCTGGAAAAAGTAAAAATATGTCCAGTAGTGAAATCGATTCCCTTTAAAACCAACAGGGGAAGAAAAAAAAGAGAGCATATTCTTAAGCAAATGGAAGGAACCTGGTAAACTCACCCATGGAATTCGGTATCCCGCTGACCGCCTTGCGCTTCTTCTTCTTCTCCTTTGGCGCCTGCGACGCGATGCTTGTCACTCCCGCCTCGTGCGTCTCGTTCGGACGCAAAGGGAAAAGCAGAACCCTAAGCGCAGGACAAGAAGCACTACCTGAACTGTTTGACCCAAAACAAAAATAAAAGATGTGATTGATTCTGGGTCATATGCTTTTTAATTCAACTGTCAGACGATTTCAAAGATTCCCAGATTCCAACCAGGGTTCAATCGCAGGCCAACTCCTCGCAATCCGAAGTCAGTTTGTGCCCAAATATTAGGGTGTATACCTGTGGACGTATCCCAGACTACAGGTAACGGATATTTCAAGCAAACAGGCCGAAAGGGCAAAGTTATCTGCCTTGAGGTTGCAAATGCCTGGGCTGTCAAACACAGGGTCCACTTGACCCTGGTGACATTCTGTGGAGCCTGGTCCATACTTCCCATGTAGGTTGAACTTGGTCTTGTTTCTAAACGGATATGCTCCAATGTTCCAACATCCTTGCCCTTTCACATGAGCAAAAGAACGAGCACAATGACAAGACGGATTCTCCAAATTTGCCGGTGCTCTAATACTGTCCTTTTGCGCCAACACAAAAATGGGTGGCCTACAGCCAAGGGCGGTGAACAAATGGAAGCTAGTTTTGCCACAGAGTCCGCTTGTGTAGGTGTAGGTGTGTGTCTGTGTGTGTGTGTCACTTGCAAGGTGTGCATGGTATGTACGCAGCTATTGCCCCGGCCCAATACCAAAACGTGGCAGGAAGATGTTCATTTCCAACAAGCGCTTGAAAAGGCAGGTCCAACTGAGCCTTCAAGTTCACGCTCAAGAGCACTGCAAGGCAATAGCGAATCGGGCGAGCGGCAAACGTGCCTGAAGCTTTGCCTGGCGAGGGCGACCCTTGTGATGTCTCTGACCCTCAGTACTGTAACGGTCCCAAACCTTGCAGTGTCTCAAAACCACAGCCCATATCATACGAAGATGTTGTTTTTCCCTCATCAACGAAGTGGGGCTGTCTTCCCTGGGTCCGTGGTTGTTTCTCTGATCGGGTGTGTCACTTTAAGGGAATCCCAAGCAAAACCACTCATGGGGATGCCAATGACGAAATCAGCTCACATGGGTCTGATTTTTTCTTGAGGGTACCCCTGCTTGGATGGCTTTAAGGGGAAACCAAAAGAACTCCCACCTTGTTTTTGGGGAGGGGGGGTCTCTTTGTTGAGACAGCCCCATTTTAGACTTCAACCCAAAACATATTACCCTCCAAACATTGCGGAGGACGCAAATGAATCGGAGCGTGCATGCAAAACTGGGACGAACCTTCTGTGACTTGCAGTACTGTTAGGAACCCCGGCAAACTAGGGCAACCCTTTGCGCAGGCTTGCACGCTGCCAAAAAGTGCGAGAACTACAGGGCTCCCTACTGGGGATGGACGAAGTCCTGCACCACTTTGAAGCCATGGGACACCATTGTTTGTATGTACAGGGGACTCAAATCATTCCAAGGTTTCTTCGGTGCAGAATTTCGTCCATCCACAGTATGTTTCACCTTACAAACGCGGTGGCCACGCGGTGGCCCAGGTGATGCATAGACCGGGGGTTCGAGTACCCCGCTCCGACCTTGAACTTGAATCCCGAAGGCACATTCCCCACGTCTGGGTTCTCAAGACCGTCGAAATGAGCGGTTTCCTTTTGGCTAAAAGTAATACCGGGGTTCCAAACTTTTGGACACACTCCCAACATGTACAGTGTTTGACGTCCCTTTCTGTCATGAAGCTTCCGGCATGCGGTTGAACCCGAACCCCGGTGCTTTCAGGCATCCATCCCGGAAACACTTGGAAGTGCAAACTGGCTGCTTCCCACTGCCTCCTCATCGTCCACGACTTCCACGGCAGCCGGGATCTGCGGCCAGCGGATTCGTGGCTGTGTTGCTTTGTCGCTGTTCGTGTTTTGAGAGGCATTGAACACAAATTTGAGTTGTTTTTGTCTCGCAAACAGGGGAAGTCCGAAAATAGAACAAGGACCCCTCAAAATCCTGCACCGCTTGGTATTCATGTGCATCTTTCTGTTGGTTTCCCTTCAAGCACCCTTCTGGTCTCAATTCTTCCGACACCCCTTACTATGATTCCAAGCAGGGCACGGGGGGTCCGTGTTTCTTGCAGAAACAACGTGAGCGCAGTGCAGTGTAGCATCGCTAGGTGGGTCGAACCAACCACATCCAACCACAAAACCCTAATTTGCGCCTAGTATAGGAATTCTATAGCATCCGTACCCAGTTGTTCCAAACAAACAAACAAAAACATTCAAAGTACTGCGAGAGTTCGGGCACGAAACCGTGGCCTGATTGACTTGATTACGTTGCTCTGTGTTGGTCATTTTGGTAACACTCAATTCCCATGGGCAAGAATCAACCAAAGCTTCCATCCGGAGCCACCTTGCAACTATCCAAACCAAACAAGCTATCTTCTGGTCGTTGCAGGTGCCACGAAACAAATCTAATTACAAGCCATGACCATGTTCCTCTAAAGCTGAACCGGGCTACAACAAGCTACGTACATGGGCGTTTGTGACCGATATGGCAATCCAAAACAACAGTTTTCAGAAGCATTGGAGAACATCACAATTCATGAATGAGAGGGGTAAATCAAAGTCCGATTCACCTGCCATAAGTCCCGAAGAAAAAAACAAAAAAAATCGGAAGTTGCCTAGCCCAAGCTTGAGAGGTGGGCTACGACATGTACGACTCAGGTGCGAACTTCTTGAACCAGGGGTTCAATTCAGATCAATCCAAACCACCAACTCAGGCTTACCTGACATATGCACCTCCCCCCCCCTAAAATGGCCGTGTTCCTGGATAGAAAAACAAAAGCACCCTACAGGGACCCCGGGATCTGAGGATCTTCTGTTGCGGCTGTGTCAACCAGATCCTGGCTGCGGAAAAGGAATGCGAGTCGGTACCAAAGGTTGCAAGGGAAAACGGTAACACCAAACAGCTGGATGTCTCTTAAAGGGAACCAGCGAATCGAATGTGGCGACTTTGATCAAAAAACAAAAGGTACCCTCACGGAAAAAGTCAGGCCCGGTTGGGCTTTGAAACCACCAAAAGGGGGGGGTACCCTCACAAAAAGACAGACCCACATGTCAAGTCTCGTGTTGACAAACTTTTTGTCCCAAGCAGTGGGTTTTGGAGAAGAGCAAAGCCCATTGGCCGATGGCAAGCCAGGTGGGAACCGAGCCAAACACGAGGCCCGTTGTTCACGGCGTCGGTGTTCGGTTTTGGGGGCTCCGCCTCGGCTCCCGCGAGCTCCGTCTGGGCCAAAGCCGCGGCCTTCTGGCGCAGCTTCTCCTCCCGTTCTCAGGGAAATCTGGGTTGGAAGCCCAGGGGATTTTTGGAACCCCTGGAACCCGGAACTTTTGAACCCTGAAAGCTAACCTAACCCCGGTTAGGCGGTTGGAACACCCAATGCAACTAACACAAGTAGCAATATGTGGCGTCATACATGCACTGATGTACACATGTTGGTTCAATCATGGAGTTGATGTACACATAAATGTGCTAATATGGCTCAAACGTACATAAGGAACCAAGTATCCCCAGCAAAACCCCTGGAACCCGGAACTTTCCAACCCTGGGCAAAAACCCCATAGCTTTCAGCTGTTGGAACACCTGCAAGAAGCACAAGTACAAGTACAACCACAAGTGCAACAACGGACACGACTGCACTGATCTGCGGTGGAATGGGCGTAAGGGAAAGTAAGGGAAGCGAGAGAAAGCAAGGGAAGGCGAGGGAAAGCAAGAGAAAGCAAGGAAATGGAAAAAGCAAGAGAAAGCAAGGGAAAGCAAGAAAGGGAATGCAAGGGAAAGCCAGGGAAGTAAAAAAAGAGAACCAGGGAGAGCAACAAGAGCTCTTCTAAAAGCAAGGGACAGCAACAGACAGCTAGGGAAAAAGCATGTTGGAAAGCATGTTGGGAAGCATCAGGGAAAGCCACGGGGACCGCAAAAAAGAAGCCCTGGGAGTCGGAGTGTCGAGGCCTTTCTGTAGATTGTTCCGTCCAACCAATCCAAAAGGTCAATGCTGGCATCGCAAAAATCGCGGAGGTGGGGCGGGGGGGAATTTGGGGGGGGGGGGGGTCCATGCTTGGCTTCTTTGGAGTCGGCTCCGTTAGCCCCTTTTTATTTCAGCTGGCTACTTTCCAAAGCAAGGGACAACCCCCCCGCCGTTTGAGGCAAATGGACCATCAGACAACAAGCCGCTTCTGTATTTGATTGCTGTTGTTCTTTTTTCTTTGGAGGGTGTAGTTGTACGTTTTGTATGGGTAGCCATTGCAGCCTAATTGAGACTTACTAATAGTGCTTCATAGTGACCAGTAGGTGCCATCATGGACCTTCGCGTGCCATAGACTTCCCATGCTAACCTTGCGAGTTGGCTGATCAGCACTAGAAGACTTGTTGCTTATCACCAAAACTAAGAGAACTACCCACTCCGAAAAGCTCAGAGTCTTCATGGGGAAGCACAAACCTCCATCTGCCAGGTGTCCCCGATCCGGGAATCTGGGTCCTTTTGCGGGACGTCCGGGCGCGCCTGCTTCCGGTGTGCCTTGGCCTCTTGCCGCTGTCTCTTGAGCTGCTCGAGCTCAGTACGCGCCTGAAGCGGGTTCCGAGTTGGATCTGCAAATGTCTGGATAGTCAAAACCTAAAACTTCCATTCAGTTCAGGCTCCAGGAAAAATAAAAATGTCTGGGGGGGGGAAAAATTATTATAAGATTGATTCTAGGGTAGGGAATTTTCAGTTCAGGGCTTCAGGGTGCAGGGTTGCTTTTCAACAAGCAAACCATTTTGTTCAAAACACCAAGGTTGATTGTGGGGAATTTTTCTAAAATTTCTGAACATTTTTTTACAATTTTTCCTTTTTCAATAAGTCAATCAATGACACCCTTATTCATTATTTACAGTTTTTCAATGAGGTAATTATCACCACCTTATTTGTTTTTTCAACTCATTAATTTTTAGTTTTTCAATAAGTATGTAAAATTGATGATTAATAATATCATAATGAAATAATATTATCAATCAAATTATTGTTTGTTATGTATTCTTTCCATATTTGAAATATGCTTTAAACTTTTAACGTGTCTGCCTATATCATATTTCTTTACTATATCATTACAATAGAAACAATCTACATATTCGTCATCCCGCTTTTCTTTTGCCTTGGTCAATAGTTCAGTTTTATGTTCTTTGTAATATTCTTTATTGTATTGACTTACCTTATCATTATGTTTTTGTCTATATCTTCGTCTTGATTCTAAACAAATATTACAGTTTTTATTTTCGTTCTCAAAATTATCAAGTGTCCTTTTCATTTTACATTTAGAGCATTGTTTCATTTCTTCGGTCATTTATTCCTACTATATTAAGGGGTCTTTTCTTTAAACATTTTCAAGGGTCATTTCCCAACATTTTTTTACAATTTTTTCATTATGAAACAGTCTAAGATTTCATCATTTTCAAGGTTCGGGTTTCAGACAATTTTAAGGCTTTCTGGGGGATACAAGGGTTTATTCATATTATAAGATAATATGAATAAACTTAATCATAAATCTCTATAATTAAACCAGTCTATAATCAACCTTTTCTTTTCTAACAAATGACAAACGAATTTATGATAAAACTCATTATTAAAAATGTTTTTATAAACGACTTTGTCTTTGTTTTCTATATATTGCCATTTCAACATTTTAAGAAAATCTCTACACATTGAAATGCTAATTTTTTTACAAGATACATAACCATCATTATTATGAAAAAGTAAATTATAATGAAATTGAGTAGCGGTTTCATAATGCAAGATTAGCCTATTGTCATATCCATACTCTTTTAATGTTTTGTCTAAACCAGTTGTAAATATTGTCCGTAATGATTTTTTCGTTGGACATTTATTTAACCTCGTCATATACCAAATCCACTTATCCATTTCTTTTAAATTGTCGGGTTCGTTTTTCATTAAATGTTTTGTAATGGTACATCTTTTACAACATACAAAACTCAAAATATTATCAATGATACAGTCAGGAAATATGTCATTTGCTTTTTTGACTTTGTTGTTGAATATCTTACAACCACGGCATTTTACAATTTCTTTTGTCAATTCTTCTCTGATACACTTATTCATTTTTTCCTTAATATATTAAGGGGTCATTTCTTTAAGTAGTTTTAGTTTTTGCAGGGTTGATATTTTGGTTTTCAGTTTCATCATTTTCACTTTCAGACTCGTCCCCATCCACACCGGTAGGTACAGGCATATCGGTAGGAGGTGCTATTTCATAATTAGGATTTTCTTCTGATGATGATGAATTAACAGTATGCGTTGAAGAACTATTAACAGTGATAGGAGGAGAACTATGAACACTAACAGGCGGTGAGGTGTTTAAATCAACTTCTTCACTAACATTTGTATTCAACCAATTCATTATAGCAGTTGCTATATCGTATGATGTTACTAATGAATTCATTGTTAAATTAACTAATAACTCTGAACCTTGAATTGTGGTTATTGTAGTGTGGTATGTTAAATGTGCTACTATTTGTCCTATACTAAAACCTGAACTCATCATAAATTCTATAATCCTCATCAACATAAATAATTTCTTTCTATATTTATCAATGTCATCATCTTTTTTGTCATCATCATCATCATCGTCATCATCATATAAATCAGGGTCATATGTAAATGCTTCTGCTTCTGCTTCAGCCTTGGTTATCATTTTACTTTTGAAACTCTTTGAAGACCCACCTAATAGTTTTGTCATATCATCAAAATTATAAGTTTGTGTTTCTTTATCATTTGGTAGGTCTGTTTGTGTTGCCTTGTTTTCTTTGTTAAGCGTTTGTGTTGCCTTGTCTGCCATCATAACTTGAGCGTTCATATATCTTTCTTTATTTTTATAATTCATTAAATCCATTTTATCAAAATCAAAATTATTCAATAACATATCTTTCTTGTATTTCTTCAGTATAACTGTTGTTTTTATTTTGTTTGTCATTGCTTGTTTAAGCATTTCATCATAATGTGGGGCGTTTCCTTAACTCGTGTTTGTGGTTGTTAATCATTTTATATAATTGTTGATAAATTATGTAAAATGATTGGTTAATCCTTTGTTGCTTTGCCTTTGCCTTTAATATCTCTCCAATCTTCCATTCTTTTTCTTAGCAATTCATCATTTACTTCTGTTGTCCATTTTCCGCTGTTTATAAGTTTCTCCACCAGTCCAACTAAATAAGTTCTACCTGTTTCCTTTTTACCTTTACCTCTTTTCTTTGTGTTTGAATATTGTTGTTCCTGTTCTTCAGTAAGTCCTGCTCCTCGTAAATGTAATTGAAATAATATGTCTTCTTCCTTTACTGTGCTTCCTTTCCAATGGTTTATATCAGTTGAATAGTCAATGGTTTCCTTATGTGTTCTTGTTTGTCTTTGTGGGACTGTGGATGAGCTGTCAGCGCTGTCCCTTGTTTGCTCTCTTCTTTTTTCATTCCTTTTCATTAATCCTCTTTGTGCCCCTTGTATCCGTTTAACTGCTTCATCTTCTGTCATAAGCGGTTCTAACGGTGGTAATTCATCATCGCTTGATTTAGCAGTTGCCATTGATTGTACCTCTGATGGTGTATCATATTTTGTTTTTCTCCAATCTGTGGCTACCCGTGCCCTTTCATGTAAATCATCTAAAAATTGCCGTCTAACATCTTCTGACATTTGACTGATTTGTTGCTCGTGATGTTCCTCGGCGTCGTCCATTGTAGCGCTTAGTGTTTGTATTGCTCCATCTCTTAAATCATCCATTTCATCATCGTCCTTTGACATATCAAACTGCTCGACTGTTTTAGGTTTTTCTAACATTTTTTGAAAATGTTGTTGTCTCAAATCTACGGTATTATTGTCATACACTGTTCCTAATGGACTATCACGAAAATAATAAGCGTTTCTGTCTATTACATCTCTGATATTCTTATTTTTATATTCTTCCTTTGTAATTTCCTTTATCAGTTCATTATAAGACGGTCTTAATCTCAATTGTGATTTTAGCGTTTTCATCTGTGCATTTTCTAATCTCATTATTATATGAAATTAATTAGATTATAAAATTTATTAATCTAATTTAATTAATTTATTCAAAATTAAAATCTTGTCTTAATTGATTGATTATTCCTTTCTTCTTCTTAATCATTTCTGAATAGGATTTACCTGTTTCACTTGATGGATGATGTCTTATTTTTTCACCTTCCAACCTTTGGATTTCATTAAAATACGCCTGTGCTTCATCTTGATATCTTCTTCTATTTTGAAATATAGCATAATCTTTTTTAGCGTTATGAAATTCTAACTGTTCCTTCATTTCTTTCAGATATGTATAGTTTGGTTGGTGTGCTTTGTTGTCTCCGTCGTAATAGTAATGGACATTAGATTTATATTTTTTACTTGGTTTTGTTATGGGATTATAAAATTTGTTTGATGTTGGTAATTTACCTGCTTTACCATTCTTTGTAAGTGTTGATGTTATATTTTCAAAATCTGACTTGTTCATATAATAATAATTAGATTATAAATTTATTTATCAAATAATTTTTGATACTAATTTATTAATATGTTCTTGTTTCTTTTCCATCTTCTGCTGTTTCATATTAATATATCTATCTTTTGCGGTTTCAAATACTTTATTTGCTGTGCTTTCTATATGTTGTTTTAACCTTTCTTCAACTTTTTGTTGAACACGCTTTTCTATTTCTTGTTCATCCACTTTTGGAATATCGCTTTTTACTCTGTTATAAACATCTTCTTTGAATTCTTCTGCTTGGACTGGATTGATGACCTTTTTTCTAATTGGTTTGTTTAAATCTATAACTTTGTTAGTGCCCTTCTTCACTCCACGACAAGCATGTTTATATTTATAGTTGTAAGCAGTCATTAAAGTTCCACAAGTAGGACAGTTAATTTTCTCCTTCATTTGTTTTTTAACAGTAAATTCTTTTTCAACTACTTCATTATTCTCAACAGGTTTAACTTCTTCAACTACTTCATTATTCTCATCAGGTTTAAATTCTTCAACTACTTCATTATTCTCAACAGGCTTAACCTCTTCTACTGCTTCATTATTTTCACTAACAACATCTATCACTTCTATTTTACTCATATATTTATATTATATAATTATTTTTTATGATGAATTATTAAGTCTCAACAAATGTTAAACTAAAACTACTGTCCGCTCCGTGTAAATCTACGGTTTTTCCATAAGCATCAACATATTTAAAATGTAAGCGTCTCAAATGTCTCATTGAAACATCATTAGAGTCATTCATTAAAATCTCATTATCATAGATTACATTACCAAACCCTGCGGTAATAGGAATTTTCTTTAATACACGAGCAACTCCATAAGGTGCTAGTTGATTGCCATTAGTTAAACTATCACTGGTTAAGTAAATATTTTTCATTGGTAATAAATTAACAAAACCACTGACAAAAGGATCAGGAGCAAAATTGATTTTTTCAACAGTGTTTCCTAAAACATTGTTAATAGACATTGTATGACTTCTGTCATAATCAATACTAAAACCGTAGTTAGTTTGCAATTCTTTATCCGTATGAAT